AGGAATAATGTTGGTCCTAATATTGTGCCCTGAGGGACACCACATGTTATTGTTTGATTAGTACTAGCTACACCATCAATTGCTACATGTTGTAGTCTGCCTGAGAGGTACTCTTTGAACAATTTCAAAACTACGCCTCTGATACCTGACCTTTCTAATTTGGACAATAGAATATGGTTTTTAGTGGGCATACAGTTTATCTGGAGTCCCATACTATCAGGAAAAGGAAGAACCAATATCTGATGTCGTTCTATAAAGAATTTTCCACCTGTCAAAAAAAAAAAGGTTAGGTTAGCAGCACTTTTAGTAAGATATCGAAATGGGAGTATGGTATTGTTGTAGAGCATCCCGAGGACCATCTCTGAGCGAAAAATCTGGCGGAAGTGACGAGCCGTTTTCGAGTTACCGCACTAGGTTAACTTTTTCGAAAATTCAAAGAAATCCAACTTCGTTGACAGTTGACAAATGACAAGCGACAAGATGAGATTTGCGATTTCTCAATTTACCTTCGAGAATTTCTCTCGGGACTTTTTTTTAAATAAGCTCGAAAAAAATGGTGTTATTCAATCGATAGGGCTCACCGATATCTACAATTTGATCGAGAAAGGGGAGTATTTAGGATTTTGACAGTTGACAGATGACAAGAAATACAGTTAGAGAGATGAAAATCGGTATACGAATGTTTTCGGGGTCGCTGAGTTCGAATTCGTCTACTGCGCAGAGATATCTTTTATCGTTCGCTACTGCGCATGCCTTAGCAGTCAATATCAATTGTTGTCGAAAAAATGTGGTTTTCGGGGTAGTTGAGGTTAGAAAAACTCAAATTTGACATTTTTTTCCACCTATCTACCGTGGTTACCTATTTGGTAACCGTGAGTTGGATCGAGAAAGTTTTTGATAATAAAACAAAAAAAAAACATTTCTGGTCATGATTAAATATCTATCAATATACATATATAAATATAAACACAAAAATATATTCTGTCAAGTATAATAAAGCATCTTCAAATACAGACATAATGTCACAACAAAATAGTTGCGTTTCCACCATGTTACGATATAGGTGGTTAGACCATCCATATCGATTTATATAAGGGGTAATGCTTGGCTTAATATTTTGCGAGAGGTTATATTCATATAGGCACTAATAGTTTAGGGGTATCTGGAAGTATGAGATTATATTCAAAGATAACAATATTTATTATAACATGAAACATTATGGGTGACATGAGAAATATGAATTAACAACAATGAATATAAAGACCTAATAACAACTTACATTATAACGACCATCACGACGAGCTCTTGTCAAGTCAAGAGTAGCCCCAGACCAGACTAACTTCGGAACCCTCACATCCAATATTTATATACATCATTTTATTAGAAATGCACGTTTCCCATGAGAGTTCCTTGGTCAGTTTTTATAATTCAATGTCAACGGATGATTTGATTAACTTTATGTTTATAAAACCCTCATGGTTCGAAATTACTAATATACAGGGTGTTCCGAAACTATTGTGCCAAAATTCAAGGGTTGGTAGATCTCGCCAAAACAAACGTTTTTCACTTATTAACCCATAGGCGCATGCGCATGCGTTCAGTGATAATAGCGCATTAAGGTCCGCGCAGTGGTATCCAACCTCGGACACGGGGAAACGTGTTTGTACCGGAAACCGTGTTAGTAAATGACATGAAATCACAAGCAATATATGGGAGAGTTTATAAAAAAAAAAACACTACAATTTAGATTGAGTTAGGTTTCACACATTGCCACGACGCAATAATAAATGAGAAGTCTACGCAATACGAGTGTCGGGAGCGCAGCGATTGGTCTCGATCGTCAAAATCCGTAGAGCTGAGCACTCAATATCGATAATATTTATTTATCAAGGGGAAGCTTTCGTGACTGTTCTATAATAATATTCTTGGAAATATTAGTGGGATGCAGTCTGGACCAATGGATTAATTAAATTTCTTCGTTATTTGTCGAGCTTTCGAAAATTTTTATTTTCTTTATCAAGACTAACTGAAAACATCGAATGGAACAATATATAAATGTACATCAATTGAAATTGGTATACTTACAAACATGAAATTCTATATAAAATTAGCACAAAAAGGAAACATAGGTGTATAAATAAAATGAAATGATTTGACAAAAAAATGTCATAGATGATGGTTGACTCATTTGAAGATGTTGAATACAGAGTGAGATAAATACTGATATATATAAAAATACTGATATATAAAAAATGTTTGTAGATTATATATAAAACATGAATCATTCAAGGAGGACGAGTTGATTTATTATCTTTTTGTTTCTTTAGAAGGAATGTATAAATGGTACTAAGATCGTTGATGTCTGTTCTTTTGTTCATCGTTTTATCATTTTCATTAATATGTACCATTTCAAGAAAGAGGCGTTTGTTGAGATGTTTTTCATAATCCAGAATTTTGGCATTATCATAATTCATTATATGATCTTCATCTATAACATGTAGCCTTGCTGAACATGTTATAGATGAAGATCATATAATGAATTATGATAATGCCAAAATTCTGGATTATGAAAAACATCTCAACAAACGCCTCTTTCTTGAAATGGTACATATTAATGAAAATGATAAAACGATGAACAAAAGAACAGACATCAACGATCTTAGTACCATTTATACATTCCTTCTAAAGAAACAAAAAGATAATAAATCAACTCGTCCTCCTTGAATGATTCATGTTTTATATATAATCTACAAACATTTTTTATATATCAGTATTTTTATATATATCAGTATTTATCTCACTCTGTATTCAACATCTTCAAATGAGTCAACCATCATCTATGACATTTTTTTGTCAAATCATTTCATTTTATTTATACACCTATGTTTCCTTTTTGTGCTAATTTTATATAGAATTTCATGTTTGTAAGTATACCAATTTCAATTGATGTACATTTATATATTGTTCCATTCGATGTTTTCAGTTAGTCTTGATAAAGAAAATAAAAATTTTCGAAAGCTCGACAAATAACGAAGAAATTTAATTAATCCATTGGTCCAGACTGCATCCCACTAATATTTCCAAGAATAATATTTATTTATGTATGTACATACGTCAAAATCGGTAGAGCTGGGCACTCAATATCGATATTATTTGAGTATGCACATATGTTAAACTTTTTTCTTGTGATACCTATTGGTACCGAAATAAGGTGCATGCGCCTATGGGTTGATAAGTAAAAAACGTTTGTTTTGGCGAGATCTACCCACCCTTACATTTTGGCACAATAGTTTCGGAACACCCTGTATACTGAATGTTCTACTCGTGACAATAAACCAAAAAGCATTCTTAATGAAAATAAAATATGTACATATATATACAGGGTGATTCAGGTGTAAAGGCACAAACTGAATGGGAGATAGATTTTATCATTTGAATCAAGAAAGTTGATATAAACATTAGTCCGATCTCGTTTAGTAGCGGAGCTGCAGGGGGTCAAAGTTAAATTATTTTTTTCTATTAATTGAAATATTTTGCTTATCTTTTAAGATATCGCTCTGAAATTTGATGTGGTCAATACTTTCTAGAAGATCATCATTTCAAGCCATTTAAAGATTTCTAAAATTTACAGGGTGATACATTTTTGGGGGTAGAGACTTCTTTATCCCCCCCAAACTTTTTCGTAGTACGCCTCTGGCATCTTTCAGTGATCAAATTGTGTGGATCGTTCAAGTCAAAGGCTTTTTTCACCCTTCATTTTTTTCGAGAAAAAAACCGTTTTTGAGATAAATATGCATAAATGTTCTGAAACATGTTAATTTTGCCTATGTTTCGCTAATATTCTATTTTCGTTGAAAGTGCAATGAAATATACTCACTGAAATTGCAATCACGAGTCCAATCTGGATGAGAAACGGTGATATAGAGGGTAGAAAGTCTAGTTTTTTTTTTCTCCAGATGAATGAAATTTAAGCGAAACAGGATAACAAGAAACGAAAAATAATGATGATTCCACTGAAACTTAGCAGAAAAACACAAGTCTATAAAAATAATAATCGCTTTTGTGCAGATTAAATCCACTTTTGTCATTGTTGAAAAATTTGCTAAATCTCTGAGAAGAAATTAGTTGACAAACAGTAAACATACAGGCATACAGCTGACATCTGATCGTGGTAAAAATTCAAGGTCATTTGTCAGTTTTCCTGCGCATTTGAAGTGGAGCTTCTTGGTGACTGACCTAACCTACTATTCTTTGCTTTAGGGTGGTTAAAAAGCTTGGGAAAAAGAGATGAGAAGGTAGGTGTTTCAACACTCAATTTTGAAAATTTTTCCTTTTTTGGTTATTTTCCACTAAATTCCATTTTCCCAATATCATTTCATTTTCAGTATTGAGAAACTAACGGGACAGGAGGAAAATAGGGGCTTTGGGTGGGTAAAAGAGCAGAATAGGTGATTTTTTTACCTGTATTCCTACAAAAATAGTGGTAGGTAGTATCGCCATCTAACAGAGAATGCCCAAAGTATTGGCTGACAGATGATCGCACTACTGCATCTAAGGAAGAAAACTGCCATCGTAGCGCCATCTATCGGAGAATACTGAAACTATCAAGACCGTAGTTCACCTATCGGATAACAGAGTTATACTTGATAGAAAAATGAAAACTGCCATTTAGCACCATCTATCAGAGAACGATCAAACCAATTGAAATTTAGTTGAGCAATTGCTTGACAGAGAGCGCTAGTATTTTTTTTTAATAATGCATAATCACACTTATATTTTACAAGAGAGAAAACAAGACGACTCCTCCAAAAAGCTAAAATATGATAGATACTCGCTTTAGGTAAAACCCCATTCTGCTAGATTGCCTCATTCAGTCAGTGAGAGGATTGGTATATTTCTAACACCATCAGGGTAGACTATATGATCATCTGATACTGAACATCACAACAGAATGAACACAAAACAGGTACTCGCTCACAGATTCACACCATTTCTGCTGTTTATTGTTTAGATATCAGCCACGCTGCACAGAGAAGGCCTATCTGAGTGTCAGTGATATTTCTGTGATCATCCGGATCATCCATGAAAGCAGAAAAAGGGATCTGGAAGTAAAACAAACAGAAGGGACTTCACAAAAATACCTACTAGCTCAACGGCTCAACCATTCATTCAGCTGGGAATTTATGATAAAATGACAAGAATTTAATAGTTTTTCAGCAGCAATTACATGGATATGTACAGGCAGTAAAAACATTCTGATGATTTCATCGTAAAATACACAAATGGTCTTGCTAATTCATGCTGACGTTTTCAAGGTCACCAGCAGCTGTCCACTTTACTGCACAGCGGCCTATATTTGGGGTTTTACCATGTATAGCCCGCCGTCCAGTAAACTGGACATACACATATCAAGAAAAAAACAGAACTGAGTGCATTACTCATTTATTTGCTTCGATGCATACAAAAGAATTGAAAATAAGATTGAATCGAGATATGAGAAGCCTAAATGGACGATACATGCCAATTTTTGAGGCAAGGATAAACACAAAGACCAGGTTTTTCCAGGCAAACAGGACAAAAATATTTAGTTTTCTTGTTTTCCTGCGTCTTCAAGCATTGGCGGCATCTTTTCATTGCGAAGTTTTCTTTCTTTGTTGATGCTGGATTCAGCTCCAAAAACCGAAATTTGTTTGTTCTTGTTGTTTCGACTTGAGGAGTTTCAACAGAAGTTTCTATTTGCTGATCTATAAGCTTTATGATTACTTTTTCACGGAAGTCCAAGAGTCTAATATTTTCATTCTGATGAAGATAATGAATGTAACAAGCATTCCACATACACAAATCCACCAAATGGGAAAAACTTTTGCGGTACCACCTCAAGGATTTTCTTGCAGTGGAATAATACGACATCATTTGGTCGGAGGGGTCAATACCTGACATTTGTTTATTATAATCAATAACACATGCAGGTTTGATCTTCTCATTATTAGCTCTCTTTCCTTGAATTTCAACCATCGAATGTTTATGCAGAGTACTTACCATTCGGACATTTCCTTTATCTTTCCAGTTGATAAGCATAACTGGCCCCTTTCTTTTCCATACAGCTTCACCTTTTTTTAGCCTGTATGTTCTGATATTTTTATCCTTATTGCTCAAAAAATAAACTATATCCCGTACTATACATATTAAACAGTCTCCGTGGCCAGACGACAAAAGATAGAGAGTATACCCGCTGTTTAAACGCGTCCAGTTAAGTGGACGCGGTATACGTGTGAAGTTCCAGTATGTCCAGTTTACTGGACAATGGCATTCAACGTGTTGAAGAAAAATAACATGAATCGACCAGATAAAAATGTATCCATCCATCAGGTCTTTCAGGAGGCCCACATGCAGCTGAGCCCATGTTTATGAAACACTTGTCACAATATCTGGCCCGAAGAAGGCCGGAGTTGAATAGACTTCTTTAGTACTTGGAAAGGCATCATATACACATGAAATTCATCGCTGGGGGCCCTAGTTGTCTTCAGATTCATCAGGAATTCCAAAAAAATGCATTATGAAATAATAAAGATGATTTGGAGGTTAAGTTAAGAAAACTTGCCACTTCTACTTTTTTTATACATTTGACGTGGACGTTATAGGCCATCCGGACAAGTTTACAATAGGAAATGGATAGACAGATGGCGCTAAGAAAATAAAGACTTCTGTTTCCATAGTGGGGAATGCAAAATCTGTTACCATACAGAAGGGGAATGTACAATGTGTTCAGAGTTTGGACCGAAAGATGGCAATCTCTGTTTGAAAACGAAGTAGAAACACTATGTCTTTGTAGATAGAAAAAAATTGAGCAATAATATCATAAAAATGCAGTCAAGGAGTGAAATTATTCAGGCATTCTAATTTATGAGGATATTTTGTATTTATGAACTTTTCAACAGAAAACATGGAAAATTGCTATTTATTACACTATTTTTGCATGTTCAATGTCTTAGAACAGGTTTTTCAATTTGACGGCCCTCCAAACAATCAAAAACAATGTTAAGATTGAACAACTCTTCATGAACTCATCAAAAACTATCAGTGGTCTGTGATCTGGTATCTGGTAATTTGGAACTACAGAAATGACACCATTGACAAAAAAAACAACAAAATCTATATTTAAAAAAAAAACACTTGAAAAACAAAATGAAAGAGTATTTTGTGATAAGTGACATACTAATACATAGACAGTAATATAGACTCAGAGAATAACTTCATTTACAGATACAATATTGTGTAGTAAAATTGGATATTGAAGAACAACATAATATATTCATCCAAGAATGGCAGCGCAATATCCGACATTTCAAAGAGTCGGTATTAATGACATCAAATATGACAAAGATATCGATTCATATTCACTGGTAGATAAAAAATTATCAAAATTCACCATGCACTGTGGTTTTCAAATAAGATCTATTGACATAAATAGGTGTTGCAAGTCTAAAAACTTAAAAATGTATACAATACTAGCAGAAAATCAGAAAGATTTCAATTTCCAAGAGTTCCATTTCGGCGGATATGGCGTTCACATTATATACTGTATGATTCAAATTAAAAAATGAATTCTCAATAACAAGATAGATTCGATGATGACAGTAATGACGAATACCCAATCAATTTCAATGTTAAAGCGTTTACCACAGATATCCTAAAAAGATCAATTGGTGGAATGAATCCGTTGAGTCAGACAATTCTGCAGGAAGCCAGAGTAAAATTGGAAGCAGATTCTAATAATTATATTATTGATATAATGTCTAGAGATTATGATGACTTTGCAGAACATGTCGATCTCCACATAGATGAAGTGATGGAGTCATATCCAGCGGTGAGAAACATTTCCTTTTATAGAAGCCAACACGGCATAAAAAATAACGTTGATACAGGACTAGAATTCATGCAATCCCTGGTGAAGTTTTTTTTTATCGCTTGGAGCGCACGAAAGGAAATCCCTATAATGTTCAAAGAACGTCGTGCGTTCCTAGGAAGGATAGGGATAGAAGGTAGGTATTGGATTTGTTAAAAGTGTGAGGAATTTGTTAGGGATAGTCTGTGATGAAAACGTAATGCAAGCGTTTGAGATTACATTTTTGAGAAAATACGGTATTTACTCTCACGGACATTTCACTGCCAAACGCCGCACTTGTGAAATAGAAGAAAATCATCCGTTAGTGACATACGTGCATGCATATATGCCTACTGAACATATGATTAGAAATACGGTTATTAGCAATTTTTTATTATTAGTCTTGCTCAATTACAAGGAGGACTTGAGTTATTCTCATCTAATAGCAGTAGTCAAAAATCCCCTACGAGATTTGGAAAACAAAAAAAATCCTATCCTATCCTATCCTATCCTATCCTACCCTATCCTATCCTATCCTATCCTATCCTATCCTATCCTATCCTATCCTATCCTATCCTATCCTATCCTATCCTATCCTATCCTATCCTATCCTATCCTATCCTATCCTATCCTATCCTATCCTATCCTATCCTATCCTATCCTATCCTATCCTATCCTAATCCTATCCTATCCTATCCTATCCTATCCTATCCTATCCTATCCTATCCTATCCTATCCTATCCTATCCTATCCTATCCTATCCTATCCTATCCTATCCTATCCTATCCTATCCTATCCTATCCTATCCTATCCTATCCTATCCTATCCTATCCTATCCTATCCTATCCTATCCTATCCTATCCTATCCTATCCTATCCTATCCTATCCTATCCTATCCTATCCTATCCTATCCTATCCTATCCTATCCTATCCTATCCTATCCTATCCTATCCTATCCTATCCTATCCTATCCTATCCTATCCTATCCTATCCTATCCTATCCTATCCTATCCTATCCTATCCTATCCTATCCTATCCTATCCTATCCTATCCTATCCTATCCTATCCTATCCTATCCTATCCTATCCTATCCTATCCTATCCTATCCTATCCTATCCTATCCTATCCTATCCTATCCTATCCTATCCTATCCTATCCTATCCTATCCTATCCTATCCTATCCTATCCTATCCTATCCTATCCTATCCTATCCTATCCTATCCTATCCTATCCTATCCTATCCTATCCTATCCTATCCTATCCTATCCTATCCTATCCTATCCTATCCTATCCTATCCTATCCTATCCTATCCTATCCTATCCTATCCTATCCTATCCTATCCTATCCTATCCTATCCTATCCTATCCTATCCTATCCTATCCTATCCTATCCTATCCTATCCTATCCTATCCTATCCTATCCTATCCTATCCTATCCTATCCTATCCTATCCTATCCTATCCTATCCTATCCTATCCTATCCTATCCTATCCTATCCTATCCTATCCTATCCTATCCTATCCTATCCTATCCTATCCTATCCTATCCTATCCTATCCTATCCTATCCTATCCTATCCTATCCTATCCTATCCTATCCTATCCTATCCTATCCTATCCTATCCTATCCTATCCTATCCTATCCTATCCTAACCTAACCTAACCTAACCTAACCTAACCTAACCTAACCTAACCTAACCAAACCTAACTTAACCTAAGCAGGATATCAACGATTTCTACCAATTCCTCGTGCATTTCTGAGTTGCAGCCGAAACTCTGACATGCAGCAGGAGTCTAGTACATCACAAACAAATTCTGAATCTGATTTATCGTTTGAGAAAACTGTTAAGAAGGCCCATTATGATGCTAAAAGATAAAAACCAAGTACCTCGTGCACCAGTTCCTCAGCACGGGGAGCGTTTCAACCACAGACATCTGCAAGAAATAAATGAAGCCCCTCGAGTTGCTGCCACAATAATATCCTATCCTATCCTATCCTATCCTATCCTATCCTATCCTATCCTATCCTATCCTATCCTATCCTATCCTATCCTATCCTATCCTATCCTATCCTATCCTATCCTATCCTATCCTATCCTATCCTATCCTATCCTATCCTATCCTATCCTATCCTATCCTATCCTATCCTATCCTATCCTATCCTATCCTATCCTATCCTATCCTATCCTATCCTATCCTATCCTATCCTATCCTATCCT